CCCTTGACAGCATCTTAAAAAGCAGAGACATCATCTTGCCAACAAAAGTCCGAATAGTCAAAGCTATGTTTTTTCCTGTTGTGATGTATGGATGTGAGAGCTGGACCATAAAGAAAGCAGACCGCCGAAGAATTGATACCTTTGAATTGTGGTGCTGGAGGAGGCTCTTGAGAGTCCCCTGGACTGCAGGAAAACAAACCTATCAATTCTAAAGGAAATCAACCCTGAGTGCTCACTGGAAGGACAGATCCTGAAGCTGAGGCTCCAGTACTTTGGCCATCTGATGAGAAGAGAAGACTCCTTGGAAAAGACCTTGATGTTAGGAAAGTGTGACAGCAAGAGGAGAAGGGGACGACCGAGGATGAAATGGCTGGACAGTGTCTGCAAAGCAACCAACATGAAATTGACAGACCTCCGGGAGGCAGTGGAAGATAGGAGGGCCTGGCGTGCTCTGGTCCATGGGGTCACGAAGAGTCGGACACGACTAAACGACTAAACAAACAAACAAACAAAACCTTGCTAATCACCCTTTAAACTGCCCTTTACTTTGACTGGGCTTGCCTTAAGCCCAAATCATAAGAGCCCAAATAGTTTTTAAAATGAAACATAAAAATAAGATTTTTATTGGAAAATTACAATGGTTAAACTGTACAGTCTTAAGCTTGAGGTCACATGAATCATAAATGTCCACATTCTCACGCCAGAACTAGCTCCCCTGGTAAAAAAGTAATTATCTTGTACAGCAGGGGTCTGTGGCCCAGGGCTGGTCCATGAGCCTTGTACGACTGGGCCACAGAGACAGATCTCCCACCCCCATGCATGGTGGGCGTGGCACACTCACATGCAAGCTCGGGTGAGCGGCTGCATTCACGGATGAACTTGGTGTGTTCACAGGTGGACATGGTGTGCTCCCTTGCATGCGAACCCCACTCACCCGTGAGCGCACCATGCCCACCCGTGAATGTGCCACGCCCACCATGCCCACCTGCGAATGTGCCATGCCTACCCACAAACATGCTGCACCCACTCGCAAGTGCGCGGGTGTCCCCGCCTCCCCTGCACATAAACCCCGCCCCCAAACCGGTCCGCGGTTCCGAAAAGGTTGGGGACCACTGTTACAGCACACTCGAAAACCCAGACTCTTTTCCTCCTTCGATACATTTTAACTCTCTTTCCCTCCATCCTCTCCAGCTCTTTTTGTATCTCCTGCTTGCTTCTCTGGATTGGCTCTCCTTCTGACTTCTTCCATCCAATCACTTTCTGTTGTTACTGCATGAACTGAGTGAAGGTTCTATCACAGATGTTATAGTACAGTGGTGCCTTGACTTACGAACTTAATCCGTTCCGGAATGGTATTCGTAGGTCAAAATGCGCTTAAATCTAAGCACCATTTCTCATTGAAATGCATGGGAATGGAATTAATCTGTTCCAGCATTCTAAAAAAATACAAAAAAAAACCCACACAGAAAGCCCCATCGGAAGGCACTGGGGCTTTTAAAAAAACAACAACCAAAAATAAACAGAGCAAGCCCCGAAGGCTGCAAAAAAACCAAAACAAAACCCTAAAATAAACATCGAGCAATCACCATGCTGGGACTGCAAATAAAATAAAATAAAATAAAAATAGAAAAAATACCAAGAACAAACAACAACACAGCACAGAAACATAACTCCCCTCAGCCGAAACCCACCCTGCAAAACCCACCCAGAAGTTTCTAAAAAGCAAAAAGCAACACCTTACCAGGCTGACCGAAGCCTCCTCCAATGGCACTCACTCCCCAGCGGATGGCAGCCGAGGCTGTGGAGGGGGCCCTTACTCATGAATAGACCCACACCTTTGGTGGGACTTACTCATGAGTAGACTCGTGCCAGTGATGGGCAGGGAGTGCATCGGCTTCCCGTGCCCGGCAGTAATCCAGAGCCACCCCTGCCTCTCCTTCCTCCTCCTGCAGTGCAGGAGTAAAAAAGTTCCCTAACCACCTGCTCTAACCATTGAGGCAAAAGAGCTACAAAGAAGCAGCCTCTTCTCCACCAATGGTTTGAATTTCCCGCCTTTTCCCCCTGCCTTCTTAGGTTGAAACTCCGCTCACAAATTGAAGCAAAATTTTGCGAGCGGAGCTGCTCATAAGTTGAAATGTTCGTAGGTAGGGGCATTCGTAAGTTGAGGCACCACTGTATATAAGACAAGAGAGTTGTATCAAGATATATAATGCTGCGTCAAGAGCTGATAGCAGATGCTCCCTGGCCTGGGGTATGTCATTGCTGCCTTCCCTCAGGGCATGAGCCCAGAGAAGGTTGTGGGGGGTGTTAACCCAACAGAGGATCACCTCACGGTCCCTTCAGGGGGTGTTGATGTAAATTTCCTGGCCTGGGCTTCTTCATATCAGTAGAGCTTAACATGATGTTTCACTGCAGTTATTGACTCAGCATCTAAGCATTTGTACATTTCTAGTCTTCATCCAACACTAACACAAAACCCTTTAGACAGCATTACTTTAAAGCAAGCTCTTTGAATTGTTTTGGATGCTTGGGCAATACAGGGAAATACACTCTGTTTCCCCCTAGTGATCAATCCTAAATTTCAGGACCGTGAAAATAAAACAATAGACAAAAGAAAATATTTTCCTTTATTGGATTGATACAAAAATGGCACATTAATTTATTCCTTTTGAAATACATCTAAAATACATCTAAAAATAAGTTTTAAAAGTGTCCAGAAACTGCTGTTTGTTATTCCATTGCTTTGCTTTTGAAGTATTATTCAACCATGTCCAAAAAAGTGACTGCTTCCAGGTAACTACAGTACTTGTAAATGGTTGCTTGCAAGCGTTGTGCATACTTACACATCTGCAGTGATCATTTGTTCTGCTTGAGATATACCAGCATTATAACGAAGTGCATGAGCATTACAAACAAGGCACATTAGGTGGGCTAACATTTCTTTAAACCTGTAACAATGTAAAGCCAAGCAGGTTGCGTCCCTATGATCTTGATGGTCCTCTTTCAACTGCTGTTGTGTGCATCACGAACTCCCATTTTTAACTTTGAATTTCTATGCTGTATCTGTGCAGTTTGTACAGGAGGTGTGTTTTGATTTGTTTTCACTTCTAACAACAGGCGATCTCTTGGTGAGGTTCATGATGTCAAGCAAATCAGTCTGCAAGAAGCTCTGAACAGCAAGGAAGTCCAGGCTGCCATCATCAGTACAGATAACCAAAACCACTATGAGAGTGTCAGGTATTGCCCTCCCACTTCACTAGCATCAAAATGCCTCTATAAATTCCATTAGTTTTTCATCTCTCCAAAGAGTCTCCTGACACCGTCTAGCTTCCCATGGGAAGGTGTTTTAGTGTCTGGGAGCATCAACAGAGAAGACTCTCTCCTGTGTCCCCATCAAACACACCCATGAGGGTGGTAAGACTGAGAGAAAGGCCTCTCCTGATGGTCTGAACACCACAACAGGCTCATAAAGGGAGATACAATCCTTGATATCATTTGGACACAAGTTGTTTAGGACTTTATAGGTTGAAACCAGCACTTTGAATTGTTTTTCGTGTTGTTTTCAGTTGTACTTTCTTTTAAACCTGCAAAGATATAAAAGTAAGATATTAATCTTATCCTTCTCAGCATGTGTGTGCCATACCCAGTTGGCAAGAGGTCCTTTCTTTATTTACTTGGGTCATAGACAATAGGTGCTCAGTGCCTAAAAATGTTCCCAGCTTCCTTAAAGGGAGTAGTCCCAAATAGCAAACCTATCTAAAATTGGATATGCCAAAATAACTACTCAGAAAAAGACACTGGTGGTAGTGGGCTTCCTAAGGCAGTGATAATTTTGAAACATTATTGTTTCAAAATTGATCTCTCTCTCTGTCTCTCTGTCTCTCTGTCTCTCTGTCTCTCTCTCTCTCTCTCTCTCTCTCTCTCTCTCTCTCTCCCTC